CTGTCCAGGTAGTAAAGCCGTCTCTCTCCTCTCTCTCTCTCTCTCTCTCTCTTTCTCTCTCTCTCTCTCTCTCTCTCTTGTTGTTGTTGTTGCTGCTGTGGTGTTGCTGTTGTTGTTGGTCTGTTGTTGTTGTCGCTGTCGCTGTTGTTGTTGCCGTTGCTGTTGTTGTTGGTCATTTTGTAAGAGCTTGGACAGTTCACTTGTCCAGGCAATAAAGCAGTCTCTCTCTCTATCTATCTATCTCTCTCTCTATCTATCTATCTCTATCTCGAATCTATCTCTCCTCTCTCATCATGCATGCGTCACACTCTCATGGAATTTTTTTTATATTTTTATATAAGATTGCATGCTTCACACTCTCATGTAATATTTCTTTCCTTTCTTCGTCTTTTTGTGAGAGCTTGGACAATCCACTTGTCCAGGCACGAAGGCAGCAATGCCTGTTCATTCTGGCGAAGTAAAATAAAATATACCAACCAACCAACCAACATCTGCAGCAGAGACAGAAGATGTTTGAGTGTTTGGAGTGAAGAAAAGTAATCAGTACGAACCCCAGAAACATTAGGTCTTCGTATTTACATGTTTTGGTGGTGTGTCGACACACCTTGAATTAATGTACAATGTACATGTCCGCCCAGAGGGGGAAGGCCCTTGGCTTCCGCAGTCAAGATCTTTGCGTTTGTTACAGTGTAGAGGAAGGATGGTGTACTTGTCAGACCATTGAGGGCGTAACTACTTTTGTTGTGCTGTACGCAGGTTTAATTAATATTCAGATGCAAAAATTGTGTCGTATTCTTCGAAAACAGGACATTTTATGTTCATTTTTTAGTCAAGTGGTGTGCTTCACTGTCCGAAGAGTGCTCAATGCCCATGTAGGGCAGAGCCTTGTACACAAGAGAGAGTTTGGAAGCTTTGTCACAACTCCGAGTTTCACGTATCTCTACGATCATCAGGCAACTGATGGATCCAAAACGGGCAGCCAGAACATAAGGGGGAGCAAGGTGGGAAATCCCGAGGGGTGTCATAGGCGACGCGTATCATAGCGCAAGAGTCAGGTGCAGGCGTGAAGTTGCCAAGTCTTCAGACTTGGGGCTATGCAGCAGTAGTTCCGGCATGAATGATATAGAATAGAGCTGGGGGCAAATGCCAAATCCACACATGCCCACACCACAACACAAACATACACCCACACTCTCTCCCTTTTCTCACATACACATACACGCGCGTCCGCACACACATTCTCTAAATCTCTCTCTCACACACACACACACACACACACACACACACACACATTCATTCTCTATATCTCACACATGCACACGCACACACACATTCATTCTCTATATCACACACACGCATTCTCCAAATCTCACACACACATTCTCTAAATCTTACATACACACACACATTCTCCAAATCTCACACAAACATTCTGTCTCTCTCTCTCTCTCTCTCTCTCTCTCTCTCTCTCTCACACACACACACACACACACACGGCCACAATACTCATCCTTTCATTCTCACACCTACCGCACACATACTTGCACCCGCACTTATCCAATCACCTACACGCACTCTCTTTCTCACGAATGCACACAAACACACACACACACACACACATGCGCGCTCACACTCACACACACACGCACACACACACACACACCGGCACACTTGGCAGCGGGACTACCAGCTAGATTCACTTGACCTTGCGCGCAAAGTTACAGAGGTAGAACTTGTTTTCATGACGGCACTTGGACACAAGCTCTGACCTCTTGTTGAGGGAACGGGTCTTGTTGGCCCAGGCAATCTCCAGCTTCTCGGCCAGACACAGGTTGCAGCGCTTCGAGATGTTAGAGTATGGTGCGGCTCTCCTCACAACGGACCACCTGATACTGTAAGGTTTGTTTTCATCCTTCAGTCTCCAGATGTGTCTGGACAGTCTCGTTGAGGTCTCGTGCTTCTTGTGGCGAATAGTATGTTGATGACCATTGAATCGTGTCTTGAATGTCCCTTCCGTTAATCCAGTGTACTCCTTCATGTCGCTGCCGGTTACATGTGCCCTGTACACAATGCTCGATGCTAGACAGTTTCCTTCCAAGGGGCAATCATTTTTGACACGGCAGTTGCAGGTTCTCACGTCCTTGGTCTTATTCTGGTGGTCGCTGCGGAGGATACTATTGTTGTGTTGCTTGATGATGGTGGCGACATTTGGCATGCAACTGTAACTGAACTTTAGCGTGTTCCGGTTAAATATCTTGTATAATTTGCAACCCTTGTGGAAGTGCTTGCTGACGAGTTGCAGGAATCGCTGACCAATGTTCGTGGACACATTCTTACTGAACGGTGGGTTAAACCATGTGATATTCCGGTGTCTCTTCCTTTGTCTCTTCCTTTTCCCACTCTTCCGTTCTTTCAAGAACTGGACGGTCTCATTGTACCCGCTGTCTCTGAGCGCATTGTTGTACATTTGAGATGCGTCCTGGAATGTCTCCTCATCCGTTGATATGTCCGTTAGTCGTCGGCTGATGGAAGAGGGCAAGTTCTGGATGATGATTGGTGGGTGGTTGGATTTGTGATGGACATACAGTGGCCGGTCGTTGGGTTTCCGATATGGACGGTATTTGCCAGTGCGTAGGTCCAGCGTGATGTCTAGGAAGTCGACTGATTTCAGGTTTGCCTGGATGGTAATTTTTAGTCCTAGGCTGTTGAAAACTTTGGTCATGTCCTTTCTGATCTTGTCCACTTCCGGTCCCGATACGTTCCGGAACACTGCCAGCCCATCGTCGCGGTATAGTCCAATGTCACTGCCGTTGTACACCTCGGATAGTTTGGCCAGGGCCAGCGTGCCGACCAACTCACAGACTTCAGCACCGTCATAGCACCCCATCGTCACATCGAATACTCCGCTTCCCTTCTTCAACCACTCTTTCCCGAGGCCGAATAGCAGGGATTTCCGTGCATGGAGGATAGCTTCCTGGTCCTCCTTGTACTTCCACAAGGGTTGCAAATTATACAAGATATTTAACCGGAACACGCTAAAGTTCAGTTACAGTTGCATGCCAAATGTCGCCACCATCATCAAGCAACACAACAATAGTATCCTCCGCAGCGACCACCAGAATAAGACCAAGGACGTGAGAACCTGCAACTGCCGTGTCAAAAATGATTGCCCCTTGGAAGGAAACTGTCTAGCATCGAGCATTGTGTACAGGGCACATGTAACCGGCAGCGACATGAAGGAGTACACTGGATTAACGGAAGGGACATTCAAGACACGATTCAATGGTCATCAACATACTATTCGCCACAAGAAGCACGAGACCTCAACGAGACTGTCCAGACACATCTGGAGACTGAAGGATGAAAACAAACCTTACAGTATCAGGTGGTCCGTTGTGAGGAGAGCCGCACCATACTCTAACATCTCGAAGCGCTGCAACCTGTGTCTGGCCGAGAAGCTGGAGATTGCCTGGGCCAACAAGACCCGTTCCCTCAACAAGAGGTCAGAGCTTGTGTCCAAGTGCCGTCATGAAAACAAGTTCTACCTCTGTAACTTTGCGCGCAAGGTCAAGTGAATCTAGCTGGTAGTCCCGCTGCCAAGTGTGCCGGTGTGTGTGTGTGTGTGCGTGTGTGTGTGAGTGTGAGCGCGCATGTGTGTGTGTGTGTGTGTTTGTGTGCATTCGTGAGAAAGAGAGTGCGTGTAGGTGATTGGATAAGTGCGGGTGCAAGTATGTGTGCGGTAGGTGTGAGAATGAAAGGATGAGTATTGTGGCCGTGTGTGTGTGTGTGTGTGTGTGTGAGAGAGAGAGAGAGAGAGAGAGAGAGAGAGAGAGAGAGAGAGAGAGAGAGAGAGAGAGAGACAGAATGTTTGTGTGAGATTTGGAGAATGTGTGTGTGTATGTAAGATTTAGAGAATGTGTGTGTGAGATTTGGAGAATGCGTGTGTGTGATATAGAGAATGAATGTGTGTGTGCGTGTGCATGTGTGAGATATAGAGAATGAATGTGTGTGTGTGTGTGTGTGTGTGTGTGTGTGTGTGAGAGAGAGATTTAGAGAATGTGTGTGCGGACGCGCGTGTATGTGTATGTGAGAAAAGGGAGAGAGTGTGGGTGTATGTTTGTGTTGTGGTGTGGGCATGTGTGGATTTGGCATTTGCCCCCAGCTCTATTCTATATCATTCATGCCGGAACTACTGCTGCATAGCCCCAAGTCTGAAGACTTGGCAACTTCACGCCTGCACCTGACTCTTGCGCTATGATACGCGTCGCCTATGACACCCCTCGGGATTTCCCACCTTGCTCCCCCTTATGTTCTGGCTGCCCGTTTTGGATCCATCAGTTGCCTGATGATCGTAGAGATACGTGAAACTCGGAGTTGTGACAAAGCTTCCAAACTCTCTCTTGTGTTCATTTTTTATGTATTAGTAGGGCTGCCCGAGTGGCAATGAGGGTAACAAACGTATCCTTGTACAGATATCTGCGTGCGAGCACAGTTGTGTGATACTGACGTCCCACAAAGTCAAAGGCGCACTGGACAAGGCTGGCCCATGGGGCATGGCGTGCATACTCCATGATGTCAGTCTTGCAGGGCAACTGCGAAGTACGAGTACATCTCACTACAAGACTTCATCTACCAATGCATAGCTGTTTTTGACAATAATAATTATAGTGTGATTGTATGACATGACTGCATGACATGTACAACACGCACTGCATAATAATAATTATTGTAGGAAGCGCAGCAGCCGCCGCCCCATGCAGAGGCAATGAGCTCGTGACCTGGTGACAGTTGCCAACTGGCATGACGACGCATTTCTGGCACGCTAGTCTCGCCCGGCCCGTGTCCATCCATTCCAAATGCACCTGCATTGGTGCAGGGCCATGGGCAGTACCGGTACCGGTCGCGAACCACTACTTGTATGGAAAACAGAAAAGAACGCTAGGGATGGGCAAGAATTGTCAAGAGCGGCATATGGGTGTAGCAGGCTACGATCCTCATAGTAAAATCCACACTTACGGACTATCATTCTAGTTGGGGTTTTGTTTGAGGATCAGATTTAGTTGTGCTAAGTTTGCGTTGGGCACCATGAAGATCCTCGTACTGCTCTGCCTAGTGGGCCTGGCCTGCTCCACCTCACCGGAGACCGATCAGCGGTGGCAGCGCTTCAAGGCGCAGTACAACAAGGCGTACGCGCCCGGCGAGGAGCAGGTGCGCTTCGTCTACTTCCAGGAGAACATCGCGTTCATTGACGAGCAGAACGCGGCGGGTCACAACTACACGCTGGAGGAGAACCAGTTTGCCGACTTATCCGACAACGAGTTCACCACCTACTACCTCGGCTTGAGACAATGGCCAGAGGAGGAACCACGCGAGGAGCACCAACTCCACGTCCCATCGTTGGAAATTGGAGACGTGCCTGCCGAGGTTGACTGGCGTAGCAAGGGTTACGTGACGCCGATCAAGAACCAGGGCGCTTGTGGCTCGTGCTGGGCATTCAGTGCCACTGGCTCGCTAGAAGGCCAGCACTTCAAGAAAAGCGGTACGCTCGTATCGCTGTCCGAGCAGAACCTGGTCGATTGCAGCACCAAGGAGGGAGACCATGGCTGCGGCGGCGGACTGATGGACTTCGCCTTCAAGTACGTGGAGAAGAACGGCGGCATTGACACCGAGGCCAGCTACCCGTACAAGGCCAAGAACGGCAAGTGTAAGTTCACCAAGGCTGACATCGGCGCCACCTGCACGGGAAAGAAGGACATCAAGCGCGGCAACGAGGACGATCTACAGCAGGCGGTGGCTGACATCGGGCCTATCTCTGTGGGCATTGACGCCAGCACGAAGACATTCCGCTTCTATCGCAAGGGCGTGATGGACGACAAACAGTGCAGCTCCACCAAGCTCGATCACGGCGTGTTGGCCGTGGGCTACGGCACTGATTCCGGCGACGACTATTGGCTGGTGAAGAACAGCTGGGGAAAGTCCTGGGGCATGGAAGGCTACGTCATGATGTCCCGGAACAAGCACAACCAGTGCGGTATCGCCACGTCAGCCAGCTATCCTCTGGTGTAGACGAGTGTATCTTTGTGATTACATCGTCCATGTAACGTCGTATCCCTATTGTTAACATTCTACGAGTTTTATCATTTTGAAATTGCTTCGAATTAGCTATGCTGGATACATACATTTTACATGTAACTATCTAAATGATAATTCCGATGTCATTGTCATTAATCGTGGTGTTATGGTTGCTCATAATGTTCCAGCCTGGCCCAGGTGGTCGCATTCGGAGTGCTCATCCTAGGAGGCCCCTGCTGCTTCCTGGCGGTGGTTGTAGTAGCCAGGGTGTCGTTTGGCTTTCGTGACTTCCTGTTTGTAGCTACATGTATCCCTTTGAATTATTAAATTCGATGAATCTCACACCCTGGTGTCAGATGATCGGGGAGAAATCTATTTTTTCTCATTCTGAGGCCGGAGGAAAGCATGTGCTTGGAGACCATCCCTGAATAAGCCTCAAATTAGCATTCAATGGGGAAGACAGATTGACAGGGCTACAATGTACAGTATATTAGTCAGGGTGTGCTTGTATTGTTCGAAGAGGACGGGCTTGTGCATAAGATGCCCCCCCCCCCCCCCAGATGGCCGAAATCGTTTTAAAATGATACAGATTCTACTCTATTTCAATAGTAATAGGTTTTTCATTTGACCCGACGAGACCACACGACGCTTGCAGATCACAGCACGAACAGTTCACCAGCCACACTCCACGAAAGCAAGTAGTAGTACTCCTGACAAGTCTTGTTTCGTTCCATAGAGATAATAACGGGGAACTCATCAGAGGAGAAGTAGTTGTTGAATAAAGGGGTTTAGCTGAATAATGCTATTTTATAGAAAAGATATTGGCGCACTGAGGTGTAAACACTCAACTAACTGACATATGTGACATATCAACACAAAAGGAATAGTGCAGAATGGAGGTGTTCTGAACCCAACTAGGCACAACTATCACAAGTGCTAAATCAATCACAATGTTCTCCTGGACCAGGAAATCTGCCATTGACCAGAGGAAGGATTTGATCTGCTGCTCGGATTATAGCGTAAGACGCCAACCCTGCAGTCAAGATCAAGATGGATACGTCGCCTCAGCAGCCCACAGTTCTATGTCACACCCAGCAGCCTTTCTTTCACCTATACCGCTGGCTGAATTTCAATTATCGAGGTTTGTGAAGTATTTGTCTTGTGCAGCTAGCAATCTTCAGATGTGACGTTAGACGTCCGTGATGATTTGTTGGCTTTCACTTGACGTCTACTTTTCACCTATCTTTGTCACTACCTCAGTACCATTTGTGACGTGTAAACTAGCGCAACCTATTCCTGTGTACCTCTCCTTCTCATTGTGATTGATTTAGCACTTGGTGGTGCATCCTGGTGCATCTACTTGTACTTGTACTTGTAGAACATCTACAACTGTATGGAATTTGATGCGAACAGGCGGATTATTCCAATTTCAAGCGATTCGTATGCAATTTGCCTCGAATTATGCGATTATTCGATTTTAGTAGGAATTTTGCGAAAAATTGTGTTAGCATAATCTGTCAAGGCCTAACCTACAATACAGAGTACGTGCAGCTAAATGAGACCGATAATGGCCGGAACAAAGGCGATGCTGTTAGCATGGCTACAATACCAAAGTATTTGAGACTATAAAATAGCAAGGGATACAGTTTTACATACATGTACATGTACTCCTACTTGAAAGAAGTACATGATTGTATGTAAAGATAATAATCAAATCTTACTGGCGACATGTACACTTACATTGTATATGCTTTAATTTTTGCCAAATTGAGTTTGGATTTGGTATCTGCTTGTGCTGAATGGCCATCTTCGTGTCTCTTCAGTTTACTTTAAATACACATACAAGTACATTGTACAACTTGAACATGTAAAGTGCCTTTCGTAGCAAACCAACAGCAAGAAAAACACAGACTATAATGTAGTAGCCGGATGAACGTGCATGCAGTAATCCTAAAACTACACCTATTAACTGACATAGCGTATGTTCCGTTCCCTTTGCGTGTCTCGTTCTTATTTCAAAATACGTTACCTACTGACTGCAGGTGTAGCTGAACTGCGTGTGTGCCTAATGAGTAGGGAGTAGGGTTGTCGGAGAGAAGAGAGAAAAGGAGAGATCTAGGGAGAATCTGCAATACTTACTGTAGTTACAAAATTAACGGATAGATCTTGCTCAAGCATGTTTCCAGGAGGGTTGTGTTAATAGTAAAAAATTAAAAAAAATTAGTAAAAAAGATGGGACGTAGATCTACGTACTGAGGGTGACGCTCAGTGCACAGCGGCCAATATGTCAGGTACATTGTTCATTGTTTGCCTGGAACTCTAATACGTGCATACATGCACATGCACATGACTGTATTCTGGCTGTACAAAAAGACCGCAGGAGGATTTCATTTCTTGAAGTCGTATGCTACATTTCCTGAGTCACACGGTGGCCTAGTTTACCACGTACAGTGAAACTTCGCAAGTACTAGTAGAGGTACACAACGGAAAGTAAAGGCTTACTGGTATTCTCTCATACTGGTATTCTCTCAGAGTCTCAACTTTCATAGCTTCACAATAGCTCTTGTGCACTGAACTCTGCATGCACATGTTAAACAAGCCATAAATCGAAACTACAATGTCGTCCACTGTACCACTACCAGTCATTTCACCTTGCATCCACAGTCATTTACCCGGGTCGGCATGGCACCTCGGCTATAAAGTACAGATCCTTATGGTGGCTGGAGTTACATGTACATACATGTACGTTATACATGGGTTGAAGTTTAACTGTATGATGCATTCCAAACTCGTTGGTCCCTGGTCCCTGCAAGACCCGGGCAGATGGCAGCCGGCTCAGAAAGCCTGTACTGGCAGGTGCTACCAAGGATCCACAACCCCGGGGGTTCATGTGCATTTTGTATGCTTGATGCTACATAGTACATAGTACCTAGAGCATGTTCATTATGTACACTGTAACCACAAGGCACTGCGGACGATTAGATCATCGACGTCGTGTCGTCTTGTCTAGCTGACTTTTAACCTATCCTCATTAATTCTTCAGTCGCTACTAGTTGAGGGGCGTCCCTGACTTCGTTCGTACTCTAATCATTCTTATCCTAAAACTCAACTCACTGGAGTCTATTCTTTCGCTTGCATGACCAGCGTGCATGCACATGCACATGTACATTGTACACCCATACTCTACATACTAGTATTAGGGCATTACTGGCTGACACATTGTTCCGGACGCAGACGTAGCTTAGCGCTTCAGTTACAGACCAAGTGACCGTGTCACGAGGCACGCCGCATAATTGTCTCCATTAATCTGAGGCAGCGCCGAGATAGCATCGACCATATGTATTTAAGCACTGTGACACATAGATTCTGGCACAAAGCCTGCTGTGGAACAGTTCTGGCATCAGCTGTGGATCTCCCTGGCCCTGTGGTCGTGGGCATCACCAGCATCACTGTATCATGATAGTATGTATTCTCTGTTGCGATTAGTGTTTCCTCCTTCACATTCAGCAGCCGTGACACCAGACGACGCATATGCGCATCCGTACATGTACCACAACCCGGATCCCGTTATAGCTCATCTACTTGGACTGTGTGTGGGTTAGTCAATGTATGTATTACTCCACGCGAACATACGAACGAGACTGTCACAATGTCAGTCAGTGAGGTTCTGGCACGGCATGTACAGAGCCTAGCATTCTAGCAGGCGCTTCCGCTGCGACTGGACTGGATCTGAAGGGCATGTGTAGGGCTAAAACATGCATTGTTCATGTACAATCCACGGCACGGTTCTGCTTTCCGCAATGAGGAGAAGCGCCTCTATAAAACACAGCAGCTAGTCATGTATCTTTGGTTTTTCTGGACACCTCATTAGTTCAATACCCACACAACGAAGGCAGGAAGCAAAAGACTTTTCTCTCTCTCTCTCTCACTCTCTTGGTTTTAATAATCTCAGTACATCCAAACGCTGTGGGCGTTTTGCTTCTGAACGTGTCGAACTTTATAGTTCCAGTATTGCAAGTTGGAAGAGAGCGAGCGTATTCAGCTTGCGGAACGTCTCACAGTCAGCTCGTCTTTCTTTGCGGCCGTCTAGGGAGTGCAGCGTTCCATGACCCTGGCCAAGAAACGAACGACTAACGTGTTTCCAACTCGTCCAAGTGACGTATCAGCTGTCATCCAACCGGCCAACCCGTCCAAGAATGAAGTCACCCGGACATCGGTAAGGACATGTAATCATCTATGTGTACGCTATACTAACTAATTCTGTTCATGTGCTATTAGGACCATGGCCGCAGTACATGTAACAGTTAGTTTTGTTTACCGGTATCCATTTTTGAATTTGGCGGGCATCGATTTAGTGCTTGCCGCCTTCAGCTCCGTGTCAGGTCGGTCTAGAAGCAGTGTGCGTGTGTGTGTGTGTGTGTGTGTGTGTGTGTGTGTGTGTGTGTGTATACGCGCGTGTGTGTGTGTGCCTTGCTGTTGTTATGGGATGGCCCGGAGAGGCACACTATGCAGCTATCACAGTCAGGTCCATGATTATGATTATCACATACCCAATGCTGTAGACAACAAGCTGTTTCGGTCATTCGGTCATCCCACCATGCATAGGCGGAAGAGAACTAGAATCACGGTGTTTAGTACTGGACGAAATGGGCAGCGCAGTGGCCCATCCACACGCACTATGTGGATGGCCTACTAGTATGCATGTTGTCATTGCCCCCACGTGGAGCCTCTACCAGTGTTTGTAAACAGCTCATTGTGTTCTGTATAAAGACAAAGTACCCTGCAGGTCACCTACACAGGCACAAGGTCCGAGACCATTACTAATACCGGGCATTACAAGACCGTTGAACTTTGAAGTGGGGACACCCACAGCTATTTTTGAATCCTAGTATAAATTCTAAAACTAGGACAGGAATAGCAGTGTGGCTCAAGCCAGATCTCTTTATACCTGCATGTGCTGGGTCCGCTGTCTCCCAAAGATAGTCCTAGAAGTCCTCATCTCTGGTCACCGTGTACTGGTAATAGCAGCACGCGAGTTACAATGTAGGTCTAATCCGACCAAGGAATGTTCTTGCTGAGTGTGCCCATGCTGCCATGAATGTGTGTATCCAGTAAGTGGCGTTGACAGGAAGCACTCGTAATCTGTCAATGGGCCATTGCTCCAAATTGCATTCTCTAGTGGTGACTCGATTGCGAACCTGATAACATGGTTTTACCGGAGCTGCCACGAAAGTCCCCTTCTTTGGCGGCACTCCAACTCCTTCAATACCATCACCAAGTACAATGGGCTAGTACAGTAGTATCAGCAAGAGCTACATGTACATACTGAGTCACGCCGTAGCAGTGGCAGTGTAGTCATAATTATACTGATATAGCCTCCTCTCCTCCCCTCGACCTCAGCCCGGCTCCATAAACAGGAAGTTCCTGTGATAGTCGTCACGCATAATATCGAGAACGAAAATTACAAATTCTTCTCTCATAAAGACTGCTCAGCCTCTAAAGGTAAAAACTAAGTTTCGGCGCGCATGGTACCGCCACGTGGGATCATGATGAAGTACCGTGGTATAAAAATTCTAGATGAATAGTGCAGATGAATCTAATCTATTCTTTTATTCCACGATGGCGTGACGCCAATATAATATTAATAAGGAAGTTGATGCTTGTGATAGAACTGATAAAAGCCAGAAACAGCTAGATGGAAATTACCCGGGAGACACTATGATAACAATGGATCATGAAAAACAAGCGGGGTTCATAGCAGGGGTGGTCGAGATAGTTAAATACACGTTCGAGATACTTGTATGTACATGACTGTATCAGAAACCAGGGGGGGGGGGGGTGCGGAGCTGGCACAGGTACTAGGTACTGCTCAAAAGAAGACTGGATGCATTGTTTCGGAAAGAATTTCTACCATGTTGGGTGGTGGTGTCGATAGGGAGTGAGTTGTAGATGGTGAGAGCACTGTTGATGGGGGAATCTCAGTGCCCGTTTGTGTGTGCGTGTCCGATGGAGTAGGTCCTTGTCTGTGGAATGGTGCATGGTTGGTGTTGACGTTGTGGTGCAATCGCTCGTGGATTTCCTCTCACTAGTCTCAGTCTCAACAGGTGACAATTAATAATTATTTGTAAAAGACGTTAGCAGCAGAGAGGCCATGTGCTGTACCTGTTATGGCTGAGGAATGAATCTCTTGGAAATCTCTCAATTGCCCCTGCATGGCCTAAAAACAGAACAAAAAGGGACGAAGAACGTCGGGAAAGGGGGCATACTGGGGATGATTGGGAACCGTGCACACCAGGATATCAGCATCCTGTGATTCTGAGTGCATGTAACGTCTAACAGTAATCCATAGTGTACTGGTAGTGCGCCCCTTGATGCGAGAAATGCAGCGAAGTGTGTACGAATGCATGGAGGCATTTCCGGACATCTCAAAATCATCAGCCGTGACTCCGTGCAGCCACGTCCATCTGTTGCCAGTTTTCCGTCCGCTGTCATGGCCGGGCGCCTTCCTGCTGCCTCAGCTGGTTCCGGAACTCTGACACGATCTACAATAAGTCGGATAACTGCAGTTACTTGAACAATACAATGTATACTCTTGGTGTAATTATAAATCGCCATTTTACTGGCGCCATGGTTCAAAGCAGTGATAACCACTACAACTTACTAACTGCCAACTTTTCGAAAGAATCTAAAACGAAGTGCAAAAAATGGAAGAAGCGAGAGCTAGAGATGAAAGGCCAACGAATAACCCAAGTTTTACATTGTAACGAAACAAACACGTGACTCATTTAATACAAGGACTATTGTAGCCACTGCTAGCCAGGGGTGTGAGTGAAACCCTTGAGGGTTGAGTGACGCCACATACATGTACATGACACATTGTATACTTCAGTTTTCTTTGTTCTGGTTGCTTGCAATTCACTTGAAGAGAAACCATGAAAATTAGATGGTGGAATGCCCTATACGTCGTTATGCTTGTTGTTTTTACCATGCACTCCTTCTGCGATTATAAACTTCTTGTCACGAGGAAGTTGTTCAATCACGAAACGTTGAACGTTCAAGTATAAACAAAGTGTTTTTTGCGCTCAGGCTACTCCCTTAGAACACCACGGAACAGCGCAGGGTAACATAGCCAAACACGCGCACAGCAGATAACAGATCACAGCACACAGTCATGATGAACTCGAAAACGGCGCTTCGAGATGGAATTCAGCCCAAACCGAATTTCTAATCTCCAATGATTATTATGATAACATGCATATCCCTTTTGTCTGACTGAAGTATTGTACTACTCTCCAGTCACTTTTTTCAGGTCGAGTTAGCAATGAAAAACCCTACACTCACCATCCTCAAATCAAGTGGTCTCTTCCCTGCAAATTAGTAATAGCTCAATCAATGAGCAAATAAGTGAGAAAGAAAAGAAACATTATGGATATGAGTTAAACTGTCCACCACTGGAACTAGATACTACATTGTATATGCAGTCAGAAAGTGCAACAATCGTATCCACTATTATGTTCCTTTTCTTTCTCCATTTATTATTGGCTCAACAACCGAGTTGCATAATGAGGAACATGTATAGCCTATACAAAGGCACACAATAAAAACCTTAGCAAATTAATTCCGTTGTGACTCAGAGTTTCATGGCTGAACCAATCATCAGACAACGAACAGCAAAGGCACTGCCCCACACGAGTGCTCAACTGCTACAAGAGCCCATACTAGATGTATAGACTCAAGAGTAGATCTAAAACAGTCTATCTCTACTCTCTACTGCTCTACTCTAGCCACTAACTACCGTATTTTCCGGAGTATAGTGCGCACTTTAGATGTGCTATTTTAGGCTCTAAATCGCAGGTGCGTACTATGCTCCGAATATGAAATGCATGTACTTCAATGAAGATTGAAGTGCGCACCCCCAATGAAGATTGGGGGTGCGCAAAGGTGCGCACTATACTCCGAAAAATACGGTACAGTCAGTCTGCACTGTGAAACACAGAGAACGCCGTAGTACTTCATTAGTAGACCTACACAGTGCTGGCAACTGAAAGGCCCTAGCTGTGGATGGAGCGATAACCTCCTGCACGGTTCTCCCTTGTACCATCAGCGACCACTTTGCGGTCGTAATTGACCTACCTTTCAAGTGCACTGTGGAACCTCCTGCTGTCAAGTGCGGTCGTAACCTAGCAAGGATCGATATGAACCGATTCGCTCATGACTTGCATCATTGTGACCTGGAGAATTTTTCAACCGCTCAGACTGTGGATGCCATGTGGTATTCTTGGACTGACAAGATTGTTTCCGTTTTGGACGAGCACGCTCCTGTCCGAACGTATCGGCCTAAATCTTCCTCCCGCACGCCCTGTCCTTGGAAATTACCTGCCCTCCACGACGCTATTCTACTTCGCAACGCAGCACATCGTCGCTGGCGAGCCTCGCCGACTGACATGGATCTACGAACTGTATTCACATCAGCACGAGCCGAGGCTAAGCGAATGTCCCGACGCCTCAGGGCCCAGTATTACAAGAATCTTCTCACACGGAGTCAGGCAAATGCGCGCCTCACTTGGAAGACAATAAACGAGCTCAGCGGCCGGACCAAAACTCCCACCCCACCCTCTGTCAGTATAGCAGCACTCAGCGAGCAATTCAGTGGAGTAGTCTCCGATCCAAGTAGACCTGTGCAGCTATCCTTACCTTGTGGTCCGTCACCACGGGAACCTTTGCGGGAATTCCAGGCCACTAGTGTTGAGGAGGTATTCACCTTTCTCGTGAGACTCGATGCTCGTAAAGCTGAGGGCAGCGACAGTATTCCAGCATTCATCCTGAAGCATTGTGCAGCAGCCCTCGCCCCGTCGCTATCCATATTAATTAATGCATCCCTTTCGTCTGGCATTGTGCCCGTCTCCCTGAAGATTGCAAATGTTCGACCCCTATTTAAGTCTGGTGACAAGAACGCATCTCGCAATTACCGTCCCATATCTTTACTGCCAATAGCATCGAAGATCTTGGAGAAGATAGTCCACAAACGCCTGTGTGACTTCTTACAAACCCATTCACTTTTGCCCGCCAATCAGTTTGCGTACCGGCCACAACACTCCACGGAAGATGCCTTGACCTTGGCCATGGACCGCTATCTGTCGTCAGCAGACCACCAGCTACATACTGGCGCAGTATTAGTGGACATGAGCAAGGCATTCGATAAAGTACGGCACCAGCTCATGATCCAAGATTTGTTTGCTTTGGGTGTATCTTCGACTGTTTTGCGTTGGTTTGCGAGCTACTTCACGGACCGTTGACAGAGAGTAGTTCTGGCGAGTGGGCAGTGCTCGGGCCTAACTGCATGCGAGTGTGGAGTCCCTCAGGGTAGTGTACTGGGTCCTTTGCTGTTTTCACTATATACCATGGACGTCCATAGCGTCACCAGCCCAGCACACTCCCAGCTGTTTGCGGATGACATCCTTCTCGACACCGCAAGCAGATCCGTAGCAACCCTAAATCAAGTCCTATCAGTTGCTGTGTCAAACTTGGCTGACTACCTACACGGGAAAGGCCTGGTTTTAAACCCTGACAAGACGCAGGTCTTAGCCATTGAGGCATCACGCCGTAGTACCCTGGAACTCAACGTTAACTGCAACGGGACGCCTCTCACCCAGACCACCACTGCTCGCTTTCTGGGCCTACAGATCGATTCCTGTCTTCGGTGGGACGCGCAGGTCTCCAGCATAGTACGTAAAACTTCCCAGAAGCTAACCACCCTGAGAACCATCCGCCCGTCGCTATCTGAACGCCAGTCGCTCCTCTTCTATTCTGCCCTTATACTTCCTGACATGCTTTATGGATCAAACGCGTTCTTCTCTGCCCTCACGGCTCAGCAGCGGCACCAGCTCACTGTCCTCGACAAGCGATGTGTTCGCTGCGTAGCCAATCTGCCCTTCCCGTCCCATACCACTCCTATATACACTCGCCTTTCCCTGACCCCTGTAATTGAACGTGCCAAATGCAAACTCCGTTTCCTTATGCACCGTGTCCACACCAGCAGCATCAGCCCTCTTCTGAAAGATAGAGTAGCCCTCCAACCTCCCAGTAACACCCGTGGCAATGACAATTGCAAATACGTTGTTCCGCTAACTCGGCGAACATCTGGCGACAGCCGACCATTGGTTTCCGCCGTGAAGCTTTGGAACACCCTGCCACAGGAACTCACGTCCGCTCGTCGTCCAACCCCGTTTAAAAGATTGCTGAAAGTGTTTTTCTACGGTTAATATGGCCGAATAGCACCTCCCTCTGGCATAGGTCCTCATCTTCCTATTTCTCCCTGATTGTTACTTCGTTCGAACTTGACTTGTAATTACCGGTACAAATACTTCCTTTTGACTGTTTTCTCATTTTCGCAAGTGAAGCTTTATCGAGCTACACTTTTTATTCTATCGCCATCATAATATTGGGCATCAATGCCCGTTTGGTTTGCGATGTAAAATAAAACTTCAAACAAAATCCGACCCCCTGAGCGGTGGGTTCACATTCTTTGCGATGTGAGCGCACCGCTCAGGGGGTCGGATTTCAGTTGCCAGCAATGTACATGATTGTAGTAAAATTAGTACAGACACTCATGTAGGTCTATGGGCCATACTCATAGCCATTGACATTGTTTTCACAATTGAAGAATCCATGGTGTATACTCAGCTACATGCAATGTTTCACTTTCAGCTACTACAGCCTATGGTTACGTCAGGGTTCAAAAGGTCAATGCTCTCCCAAAATCTCCTTCCGTTGGAAGAACAGGCTTCACTGCCGCGCAAGATTCCGACGGTTCTTCCCGTTCCAGCTCGAAGTGGACTGCTAGCAACGCCAGCTCAATAAAATAATGTTCCACAACGGGCAGTGTCGCAGACGCATGGGTATCTGCTAATCTGCAGGAAAGACACACCGTTGATCTACTGGGAGTCCGAGATGGATCCACCAGGCTGAGTCCGCAGAGCAAGAGCCCAGTAGAGGCATTCAGTGCTGATTCCTGAACAAATGCAGGCACAAATACGATATACGCAGCACATCGACGTCGAGAGGACCTTGTGTGGAAAATGAGACTTCATGAAAGCTTTCATCTTCTCCGACCAATTTCAAAACCCGGCTTGAGTGGTCAACTCGCCGAGCAACTCAAATGGAGCCTAGCGTAGCATCGGTGAGACGGTTGTGTGACTTCATACACGCTATGCTGACGGTATGGCTCTGAGTCTACTTCAAGACTTTTTTCCGTCTCCGTGCTATCGATCTCCAGCTAGCTGACTATCATTTCCAGTGCATACACACATTTTACATACATCTCTTCCCTCTCGTATACCTTATCTCTTCGCTACCTTGTTATAGGGAAGAAACTCCCGTTTGGATCATTGTGAAGAAGAAGAAAAAACGCCAATCAAAAAAATAATAAAACTTGACTCAACGGCATTGTGGTGTTTATGCAGGTCTGGATGGTGTGCACTGCGCAAATGCTGGCTGGTGGTGGTATACATAGCGTTGAGCGGATTGCTTGCCGGCAAACTGGGTAAGTAAGTTTATGGTGATGATTGCACAGGACGCACTGCACTGTGAGAGAGTTTGGCCTTTTGCAAAGCGGATGGCTTGCAGTAACACTTTCCTCCTTGTCCAATGGTGTGAACATGTAACAGTGTTGCCAGTGTCACCTCCATCTGCTCACACCACAGCTTCACCTCCGTCAGCTCACACATACATTCACACTTTCCCACCTTCCAACCAGGCAAATATTATTTAGATTTTGATAAAAACGATTCAAAGCCTCTCAAATATTTTGTAATGCTTATAAAATATAAGAATAATAATAATATTATAATCAACGCAATAAATAGAGTAAGCTGCGCACTCAGTACAAACACCATAAGCAAAACTTGTTTTCATGTAAATAAAGAAGCTTGTTCCTAAGCTTGTTGCGCAGCTTACTCTATTTATTGCGTTGATTACATTTTTATCTCCACGGAAGCTTTTTAATAATAATACTTTCACATAAAACAAGCTCGGTGCAGCACTAATCACGGCAGGGAAACCCGACCCTCCACCATCGCCAACTCACGAAGCATGTGAACTGGACGGTGACGGGCCGACCGAGCACCCCAGACACAATACAGCGGAACGTAGCAGCGCGAAAGACACCCGACAGCGATAGTATCCCATCAACGACGAATAGCTACCTCCCGAAGATTGAGATGTGAAACATTCACACTGGTATCCCCCGGTTGGCTATCAACCTTCATTTCACATTCATTTGTTATTGGAAGTCGTTTGACAAGCCAGGAAATGTTGAATAAATACAAAATCCCATATAGCACAGGTGTTAAAATAGAAATCTACACCTGAACTTGGTGAAATCCGACCTGAAGTACAGAGCTGTTGCCCTGGACCAGTTCTGGTTGCATTAATGCAATTGTATTAGGTGGATGTCCTGCAATATCTACAGCACGACCAGGGCCTCAAGGTTCACGCAAAGTCTAGGGAGCCGAATATGCACTCAGTGTTGGATTTCACCTAGCAAACCTGAGCATGAGTGAGAATATTGATCTATGCTCACTAACCCCGCCAACGCACACACACTTCAACGCAGTGTGGCACTGTTTCTCACAACACCATCATCACCATCATCATCACCTTGAGTGCTACTTGATAATAATGATTGTAGCCTTATGTAACATGCCAAATGAGGTTACAAGAGATGGATCCGTTATTTTGTAAAAATGATGAATGGTTCAAAAAGAAGGAGAAATTGCCCAGTCAATGTCAATACTATCAACTTCTCACCCGTAGCGTGATCCAAATTGAACCCTGCAGGACAATGTCCTTTCTCTCTGTGCTGATAATTACGTGTTTTTAGTGGCAGAGGCAACAGGGTCTTGCCCACAAGCACGGACTTGCGAAGTCCTGCATGCCGAAGGTAAGTCCTAACACTTTCCAATGAGACTAGTGTTATGTTCCCTTGCAGACTACAGCCAGACCTCGCTTAAAGGACAAGTGCATCGATTTTTCAAGTAGGGTCCAGAAGAAAGACAACTTGATATCAGTTCGAATGGCATATCTCTCGCTTCCATGCGATAAGCCAAACTTGCCAAATCGCCAAGTATATACTCACGTTGCCATAGCGACCAGCGCAGTGATGACGTATGAAAGGCTTAGCTCCACCACAGAGAAGGTCGATCACTACAGAATTTGGTCATTTTCAATTGTCTTATTGTATTCACGGTGCGAAACAAGTGCTGTGTTCAATGCTGTTAGTGCCGTGAACTGTTTATCGGCCGTCTCCTGCATTTCCCTAGGCTGACTGTGCCTAGGAAATGCCGTGTCAACACCACAACACACTACGGACAAACATCTTGAAAGTCAATATACAGATTCTCAACCCAATGCCCCGAACGCCGCATAATTTGTGATTGCCATGTTTTTTCCTTCTCTTGCCACGATTTGATCAAGAATATCGGGATATACGCCAGATGGGTGACGAGATGTCTGCATCTGTTGAAGATGTGAAGCAAGAAAAGTTAGTATGGAATCAGCCCCCAGCCACAGTCCTGCAGATCAGTAAGTCACATTCAATACATGTTACCTCTCATTTAGATTGGCATGTTGGCTCGAACTCATTACGTTTGCGTGTTTGTGTGTGAGTATGTGTGTGTGTGAGTGTGTGTGTGTGTGAGTGTGTTTGTGTGTGTGTGTGTGAGTGTGTGTGTGTGAGTGTGTGTGAGAGTGTGTGTGTATGTGCGTGTATGTGTGTGTGTGTGTGTGTATGTGTGTGTGTGTGTGTGTGTGCATGTGTGTGTCTGTGTGTGTGCATGTATGTGTGTGTGTGTGTGTGTTTGTGTGTGTGTGTGTGTGTGTGTGTGTGTGTGTGTGTGTGTGTGTCCCATATGGTGCAGTGGTATGTGCAGTCGATTTCCAATCGAGAGGTTGCGGGTTCAATTCCCGACGATTATGGCCGCACACGTCTTTCTTCTCTTTCTCGGACTCGTCCTGACTTTTCTTTCATTCTCCTGGGTGGTTACCAACAGCCAGGGTATGCCGGAGTATGTGGTGTGGTGTGTGTGTAGGAAAAAAATGGAAAAATGAAAAATAGGGATTCACTGGCCAGAAAAAGTCACTTCAAACAGCTGTGTGGTGGATACCAGGCTAAAAATAGTGGCGGTCAATTCATCAGCCTTGCAAGCTGTTGAATGGTGTAATCCCAGCACAAGTTGCTATGTCTAACATAGCTGTTCGCTATCATTGCTTCCGGGATGGGCATTTCTGAGGTCTGAGGTGTGTGTGTGAAGACGTTTACTCCAGTCGTGTACAAATCCCAGACTGAAACAACTGCAGAACTATCTCTATGATCACATTTGCATCATGACTTGCCATGATGTATCAAGCATGCTACATGTGGCTGCTGCTGCTACCACTGCCGCTGCTGCTTCTGTTGCTGCTGCTGCTAGTCTTGACCATTTCACTCTTGCACTGGCTGTGGTTCTTCCAACAGGAGATCTCAACCCCAACAATATTAGGAGGCATCGTAAGGCCAAGTCATTTGCAGCGAAAATTATCGTGACCATGGATGAAGGAAAAAGAGTAAACCTGTTCTACTTCCAGCCGGTAAGAATGCAGCCAATCAGTGAGATTGCCCAACAAATCATGAAATGATCTCTTGTACATACTGGAGGACCTGGCTGAGATGAACAGGTGAACACATAAAGTTGTCATTTCATTCTTCTTGCAGGAGATCCCCTCGACAGGCCGAAAGCCTTTGGGAAATCCTTAAATATAATAAAATACAAATACAACACTGCGTAAACTATCAATACATTATACTCACCCCATGTGTGTACACTGCACAAACCTATACTATAGCTAGGCTGCACGTGCAGTGAAACATGCCTAGGACGACCACTCAAGGGACCTTCACAAGGTGGTCTCTGTTACCAGGTGGTCTCCTTATCCAGGGTCATTTGACTGGAAATAGCATCCCTCGGTCCTGGTTTCTGTGGTCTTCTAGGACAGGTGGTCGTCTTATCCGATTAGTCGCCTTGACAGGTTTTACTGTATGCCGCTTGGTGAGTATATCTCACCTTACTGTTGCTAGGGTCATTTCTTTCCTGTCGGGTTCGGGGTGCTTCATCTCATTCCCTACAGGAGCAGATCGGATTGTCGTGCCGAGACCTTGCCAGCTTCGATGTCGTCATACTGCCGGAGTTTCTCGAAGCCGAGCATAGCCCGTGCAACTACTCCGCAGAGCTATCGTCATCACCCCCTCGACTTGTCCTCAGCGTACCGTTGCTGACTAGTGTCTACGAGAAACGGTGGGAGAATGATGACCGCAGTCGTGAGGAGGTTACCTTCGAGGTGAGCTGCACTGGGACAATACTGGCAATAGTGGTCACTTGCACTCAACAGTGTTCGAAGAGTACTCTAGTACCCAGACAGTTTTGCGATTGATGATGTAGTGAATATTCAAATTCATTCTATCCAGCCGTGGTTCAAGAATATCGGGAGAGGAAATTTGAATTCGAAGGATCAAAGTATCACTATACCTGGTGCATGGATCTGCTAAGACTTTCTCGAAAGGCGACAGTGCCACCGTTGAATATCACAATATCACACAGAGGTTCAGTTGAGGTATAGGGCAGAACTGTCTCCTTCACTTAGTATACAAACCTTTTGCAAAATCCATTGCAGCCATTTGCACAATTCTCTTCATCAATACCAACATGCACACATAGTCTCTCTCGCAGAGATCTTTTTTCGTTTGTTGACTTGGTATCGGAGCGAATAACCTCAGTTTCATGGAAATCGTCATGCAC